CCGTGGCTTTTGGGTTCAAGATTCGGAAACTGATTCATCGTGGACTTAGGTCGGACCTCTCCCCGTACAGGGGGATTTTAGACGAAGAATTAAACATACCCCCCCGAAAAAGTACCCCAAAGATGCAAACAATTAGAAAAATCGTCCCCAGACTATTTTGGGACCATTTTTGAATATCCCCCCCTGTAGAGGGACAGGCCCGACATAATTCAAGATTCGAAAACTTGTCCATCGAGAACTCATCTGTTCACAACGGGCTTACATGCGCACGTAATGTGCTGCCGCTGGGTCTGCTAGGACGACGGCGACCGGGAGAGCACCGTGGACCGTATGCGCGGAGGCGCTCCTCGACCAGGGCGTCCTCGACGCGATTTCCATGATGGGGCTGGGGCGCCGCAACCCATCGCGGCATCCATCAAGACAACGCCTGGGGCACGAGTGACCACAATAGAGGAATAAACAATTGTATAAACAGAAACTCTCGGAGGTTCGTGCAAACTTCTTGGATAGGCGCCGAATCCCAACCCTGGCGCAAGGAGCGCGCTAGGGGCGGCGCTGGAGGCGCCGCCAGGGGGTCCCAGCGCAGGTCCAAGAAATCCGCGCGGACCTCCGACAGTTTCGGAGGTTGGGGGATGAGATCGCAGTGGGACGGAGACCCCATACTGGGAAATCGTTTCGTTTCGTTCGTGTCGTGCGTGCGGGAAAGGCGAAACTGCTTGGGCGCGAGAGAGGAATGAACCCGCCGCTGCTAGGGCGAAGTCAAGACAAATGCTTCTCCCCCTCCCTACCGCCCGTCCGGCGGTGGCTCGCGGTGGCTCGCGGTGTCCCGCGGTGTCCCGTGGTGTCCACCGTTGCTAGGGCGAAATCAAGACAAATGATTCTCCTCCTCCCGCCCGTCCGGCGGTGGCTCGCGGTGTCCCGTGGTGTCACGTGGTGTCCCGTTGAGTGAGATCGATACTGAGATCGATACTGAGATCGATGTGGTGCCCCGAGGTGTCCCGTAGTGTCCCAAAAAGTGAGATCGATAGTGAGATCGATAGTCAGATCGACAGGTGTCCCGTGGTGTCCCGTTGAGTGAGATCGATAGTGAGATCGACAGGTGTCTCGTGGTGTCCCGTGGTGTCCCTTTGAGTGAGATCGATAGTGAGATCGATGTGGTGTCCCGATGTGTACCGAGGTGTCCCGTGGTGTCCCGTTTAGTGAGATAGCTGGTGAGATCGATACTGAGACCGATAATGAGATCGAGAGGTGTCCCGCGGTGTCCCGTTGTGTCCCGTGGTGACCGCCGTTGCTAGGGCGAAGTCAAGACAAATGATTCTCACCCTCGCGCCCGTCCGGCGGTGGCTCGCGGTGTCCCGTGGTGTCCCGTTGAGTGAGATCGATAGTGAGATCGATGTGGTGCCCTGAGGTGTCCCGTGGTGTCCTTACAAGTGAGATCGATTGTGAGATCGACAGGTGTCACGTGCTGTCCCGTTGAAAGCGATCGATCATGAGATCGATAATGAGATCAATGTGGTGCCCCGAGGTGTCCCGTGGTATTCCAAAAAGTGAGATCGATAGTGATACCGATAATGAGATCGACAGGTGTCCCGCGGTGTCCCGTGGTGTCCCGTGGTGTCCCGTTGAGTGAGATCGATAATGAGATCGACAGGTGTCCCGTGGTATCCCGTGGTGTCCCGTTGAGTGAGATCGATAGTGAGATCGATTGAGTCAGATGTTGGTTCCCCCCCTATCCCCCCCCACAACCTCCTTATCACCCGAAGGGTGGTCGTGTAGGTATGCTTATGCCGCCGTTCTAGATGTTCGGTGAGCTGCACTCCGCGCCCTGCCCTGGTTACAGCGCGGGCAGATCGGCGCCGCGGCCGATGACTCCAGTAGCGGAGACCTCCCAGGTGGTGTCCGAATAGACGGGGTCAAAGAATCGCGCCGCATCGCCGATGCATCACCGACGCATCGGCGATGCATCCGCGATGCATCCCGATGCATCGGCACCGCCTCGCGGGGAAAACTCTACCGCTTCCTCCTCCTCCTGCTCCTCCTCCTCCTCCTCCTCCTCCTCCTCCTCCGCCTCGCGGGGGAACCCGCACCCGTGAGATGCACCGGCGGTGCGGCGCGGACCCCCAGGCCCCAGCTGCCTGGGCCCCCACGGGGGAGGCCCAGATTCGCGCCCTGCCCAGGTTGGAGTGTAGGCAGATCAGCGCCGCGGCCGATGCTTCCACTGGCCACGCTCTGGAGTAGGTCCTGCAGTGGGGACGCCCGAGGTGGTTACGAGAGAGCAGTTGGCGCGATGCCCAGCAACACATGTGGTCCAAAACTGGCAGCAGCCGCTGGGCAGGCGAGCTTGTGCCTCGCACAGGCAACGACCGCGGCGACGCCAACAGGGACTCCTGCTGAGAATGGACAGGAACTGCTGTTAGACACTGCAACCATTGCTTTCGTATCCATTTGGGCCCCCCTCCGATGGAGCGCATGGACTGCAGCTTCACGTCGGGTACCAACGGCAGAGTGACCAGTCGCTGTGGTATCTGCGTGCGCTTGGGCCCTCCCTGTTCGGTCGCCGCGAAATGGGCCCAAGGGACCACACGCAAATTTAGACAACTTCCAAGATTTTCCGCATGTGTTCAACACATTTCCCAGATTTTAGATTTCTCCCCCCGTTCCACCATTTTAGTGAGAATCAGATTCGTGTCTTGTTTCAGATTTGTCCATTCGGGCATGCCCTAATCGCACAATCCTTGGCCTGGGCGGACCCTGCGTACTTCGCGAGCGGGTCTGCATCGTCCGGCAGCGAGACGAGACAGGCCAGACTGAAACACTCGGCGCTTCTGGGTGAACGAGCTCACGAGCGACGCGCGTTTTACCTGTGGGATCCTCCATGTCGCTCCACTTGCAGCAGGTGAGTCACCGATAGAACCAGCCCTTCCCCTGGAAAAGAAGGAACTGTCAGTACGACGCAGTCTCTCAAGAGGGATCTGGCAAATTTGTACACACAACGCGTGTCTGGCGCAGGGGACGGCATGACCTCAACTACGCGCACTCAAGCATGTCTTGCGATGCCATTGCTGAAGACGGGGGCCACTACTGTAGCAATCGGCGCCAACCACTGGCCCCCGAAGAATCGGGCCAAGAGAAGAGAGAAGTCGAGGATACAACTCCTGGGTTTTCTCCTATCACGTCTCCGTCGAGGCTCTGCGCCCCCTGTGATTTATAATCATCAGCAGCACCATCATCGAACCATCATCGCCCCGACGTGCCCCCAGTCTTCGAGCATGCACCCACACCAATACAGCCGAGTTGAACATATAACGGCGCCAGCCACCTTGCTTCAAGAACGCTCCCACGACGGTCCTGTGAAAGGCGCACATCGTGTGACGGGTCTCACGAGCCTCGATCTCCAAGAGGTCACACGTAAGGACCTCCGTGCTCCCGCTGACAAAAAAACATCAAACATACAACACACCATTAGAAAACTGGGCTGGCACGGTGGCGGGACTTGCTGCAGGCAGCTGGGTATACATGGCATAACATACTTGCACCACGTCTGTTGCACAACGTCTATCGCCTCGCATAGGTTACATCATCGTGACAACAAGACCAAATGCTGAACCACACGCACACACAGGTCCACGCACACATCACATCGATAGTGCAAGATCCCACTGTTTGGGGTACACGCCGTTGAGCATACTGCTTTTCTTCAGGTAGGAAGACAACACCACTCAAGGCGACCGCCTCAAGAGGCCGCCTCGAGCGGAAGCCCGTAGCCCAAGTCACCGTAGACGCGATGACCCACTTTATAAACGCCCGCCTCAGACGCAGGTCTTGACTCGGATGACACCAAGATGACCCACGTTACAAGGCCATTTGCCGCACGCATCCCTCCTCAAGCAGGGCTGAACCTAAACGGTGTTTTTCGTTTTCGCTTTGTGTTCGTTGTCCCTCGTTTTGTCTTCAATCCGCCTTTACCGCAAAACGAAGCCGAAACGAAAACGGCCCACGAAATCGCAAAACCACCGTTTACGTCCAGCCATGTCCTCAGGCGTTGCCGCGTCCGTGTGATCATCGTCTCCCAGCAAGCCTCCGACAGCGTAACCCGTGCGCGTCAGGTCCCTGACGTAGAGGTTCAGGTAGCGAAGGCCCCGCTGCGTGCGCCCCTGGGCGACCTTCAGCTGCACGTTCTCGAAGTGCTCCCAGCGCGGCTTGCTCTGCGCTTTCTCGGCGTGGTAGTGGAACCCGCCAGTCTGCTTCGCCTCCGCCCACGCCCCCGTGATATTCAGCTCCTGGAAGTACATATCAGTGCACTGTCCGCCCAATCTCTTCGCCTCCCCATCTACACGAAGCAACGTGTTCTCGGAGACCTTGCGCGGAATCTGGATGAGAAGGTGACTGCCGGGCTTCATGAGGTCGAACTTCTCACCGTGGACATTCTGCAAATGCGGGTCACCAGTGGCAAATGGGCTTGCAGTGGATCCGCCGAGCACACCACACCCAATTCGTGCACCCGAGCCAGCGTGGGCCACGACTGCGTGGAGGTAGTTGTCGGCGAGGGTGTCGTAGCCAGGAGACGGTCGTACGGTGAAGGAGCCCGATGCCGACGTAGTGCCAGCGGTCTTCTTCCAAACGGTGAACCACGGATCGGTGAAGCCAGGGGCGAAGTAATGCCCTCCTGGCAGTGCCGAGCTGGAGCATACACTTTCTCCGTAGCCTGAGTGGATGTGCAGGCCGCCCGACGTATCACTCGAGGACAGTCCTGTCAAGGTGTAGGTCACATGAAGGAGGCCCATGCTCACACTGACCATCACGGACCCGGAGACCCCGCTCGAGGTTCCAGGGTACGAGCCCATAGCGGCTGTCAGAGAATTACCAGCTCCGGCGTATCCGCAACCAATTCGTGCACCACTGGCGTCGTGCAACACCACTGCGTGATTCACATTTTGAGCGAGAGTGTCATAACCGCTTGCACCCACAGTGAAAGAGCCCTTGGCAACAGTGCTGCCAGCTGTCTTCGACCACGTCGTGAACCACGGATCGCCATACCCGGACTTGAAGTAGTGCCCCCCTGGGAGGGACGCGTCGGAGCAGACACTTTCGCCAGAGCCTGAATGGATGTGCAAGCCGCCCGAAGTCTCGCTGGCCGAGAGTCCATCCACGTAATAAGCCAACCGGAGAAGGCCAGAATCCAAAACGGTCACAGACACGACACCCCCCACACTGCTGGAAGTGCCTGGGTAGGGCCCCATCGCCGCGGCGAGCTCGCTGGACAGAGTCGTGTACGTGCCAAGGTAACCGCAACCGATTCGAGAACCCGAGGAGGCATGGACTACCACGGCATGAAGGTAATTCTCAGCCAAGGTATCGTGGCCGGACACGCCGACGATGAAAGTTCCCGACGCACTGGTAGAACCGGAGGACTTCGACCTGAGGGGACACGTCAGGGGGGAACCAGACCAGGGGGGGCAACACGGAGCTGGAATCTTTTTTGGTCGCGGCCGCGAGCGAAGAGCGCAGGCAACGAACAGGGTGTCCGGGCCGACGGGCAAACCTAATTAGCTGCTGGGCGCAGCGCGGGCCGGCCAGACCAGCTCTCAGAGGCAGCAGCTGCGGCAGCGGCGGCGGGGGGCTGGCTGGCTGAACTGCAACGCCCAGGGAAGCTCGAGCATCGTGCTGCCCTGTGGCAAAATGCCAGGGAATCAACGGAGCTGGAATCGGCGATGCCTCGCCGACACATCTGCGATCGGCCTCCCATAGCGAACCAGCACGCTCTCAGGACGGGTGGGCTCTCGGGCCTCACTCGACCATCCATTAGCGGCTGGAGGTCGATGCATCCCATCCCCCCCCCCCTTTGGAATCTTCCCTCCTCACGTTGCCCCCGAGAGAACCCAAAATCGAATCGACAAGTGGGATCGGAGATCGACACGAACAGGATCGGCGGAAATCGGAAGCCCAGTGGGGAAAAATCGAATCGGCTCAAATCGGCAGGCTAGTGCGCGTCCAATATGATCTCGGAACCCAAATCGGAATCCCAAATCGAATCGGAATCGGAATATAAAAAATCGAGATCGAACCGAATCGAATCGGGGATCGAAAGGAGCCCCGGTTGCCCCCGACGACCATGTGGTGAACCACGGGTCGGTGACGCCCGCGGCGTAGTAGTGGCCGCCCGGGAGGGAGGCGTCGGAGCACACGTTCGTGCCCGACCCGGAGTGGATGTGCAGCCCGCCAGACGTGCTGCTCGCCGCGAGGCCCTCCAGCGTGTAAGACACTTCGAGCAAACCTGGGGGAGCAAAAGCCAACACCCGCAGGCCTGGAGGTTGACACCAGCACCCATATCGTCGGTGTGCCTCCACCGAGGGAAGAAGATCCCGATCTCGGTGATGGCGGAAATCTTCTGGCCTTCAGGGTGACAGAAACAGTGCCACCAACACCGAAATCTAGGAGCATCTTTCCCATGTGCAGGCACCCCCTGTGCTGGTGTTGGTGCCCATGCCTAGCCCTCCCGAACACCAACGGCACGCCGCCTTTGGGGAGCCATCAGCGTGCCCCGTGCGGAAGGATCAGGACCCATCGGTCGGAAGGGGTGGGCAGAAGCAGGAAGTAGAGAGGCGTTGGAAGTACCGTATTCGGCCTGACCTAAGGAGAGAGACATAAGACACGAAAACCCTTTTTGTTCCAAGTGAGTGTAGAAAGTCCGACGGAACTCCAGGGGGGCTCGCCGCCAAAAGGGTAGCGGAACGCATTCAAACCGAAGGAACGACCGAGCTCCTTGTGAAAAGCAAGTGCTCCTTATTAAAGCCAGACCCTGTAGACTGGATGTCCGCCCGCCCCCTAAAAGATGATGGAAAAGGTGAAGCCACTCGATCATTGAAGTTATGAAGGCGCATGAAGTAGATGGGATTAGGAATCCCAAAATACCTACTTTCAACGACCGATGGGTAGGTCCTCGGACAAGAGCAAAGGGGTAGCATACTGACGGGCACCCAATGGCGGCGTGTCACTGATTCTGTGTCCCCCGCCCGAACACCCGTGTACACCGAGACTTTGAAAAGCCCACTGACGCCGCTCGAAGTGCCCGGGTACTCGCCGATAGCTGACGTGAGGCCTCCGTAATATTGGAGGAATCCGCAGCCCACTCGGGCCCCCCCGGCACCGTGCGCGACCACCGCATGGAACTCGTTCTCGGCCAGGGTGTCGTATCCACTTGCGCCCACCGAGAAAGAACCAGTGGCTGTGGTAGAGCCAGCGGTCTTCGACCATGTTGTGGACCACGGGTCGACAAACCCAGTGGCGAAGTAGTGCCCCCCTGGGAGGGACGAGTCGGAGCAGACATCGGTTCCAGATCCAGAGTGGATGTGCAAGCCACCTGACGTCAGACTCGCGTCCAGACCCGTCAGAGTGTAGGCCACTTTCAGAAGGCCACCGGACATGGTCACGGACACAACACCAGACACACCGCTCGAAGAGCCGGGGTAGGGGCCCATCATCGCTGAGAGTGCTGACCCTGCGTTGGCCTTGCGCATGTTTTCAGGCTTAGCCACCGGATGAGCCACCGGCTTGCCGTCGCTCTGCCCCCCACAGTTGTGGATGCTGAGCCCCTGGCAAGGCACGAGCCAGAGCAAGACGGCAACCACGGCAGTACGGATCCGCTCCATGGCTAGCGGCTCGATATGTCCTTGTCGAGATCCAGGGGAGACCGAGATTGCGTTATCGAAGTGTGTGTGTGTGAGTGTGTCTTGCTAAATGTCCACGATGGCTCGAACCGGAGAACATGTGCAAAGAGGAACGAAGGTAGTGGCTCTTGCACACGGGTGCCGGAGAAGGGTACAGCTTTTTGGGAGGGCCCTGAGTCAAGTGGAAGCACGAGGGCGAGAAGTCTAGGGCCCAAGAGGGCTCAAAAAGCATCGGCAAATGATGCGACGACGAAGCGACATAAGAAGGCGATGTACCAAAACCGAGGACCTTGCTTTGCATGAGTGCAAACGCAACCAGCCAGCGTAGGTCCAGGGGAGGGGATGGTGCGGGGCGTAGACGCGCCATGGGAGGACAGTGAGGGGGACGAGGAGGGAGGACAGAGGAGAGGAGGGGGGGGGTCGGGCATGGAGGAACAGGCCGTGCTCCTGACATTTGCCTAGAAAGTCAAAACGGGCACTGAGGATGCATGATTTTGAACATCTTCCTGGGCTCTGCAGCCCTCCGCGGGGACACCCGCAGGCCGCCGAGCACCTCTGGAGGTGAACGTTTTCTTATTCGGCGCTTCGACATTGGGCGGATGGAGGGGGGAGGGGTTGGGGTCCGGCTGGCTCGGCAACTGCTCGGAGCTGCCAAAACTGCTCGTTGCTCAAATTGGGCGGTTATGCGGGACGGGAAAATGACCACAGCCACTGCTTCTTGTTTGCGCCGCCTTCCAGCCAGCCGAAAAAGAAGCAGTGGTTGTGGTCATTTCCCTGGTGCCAAGCTCAACGAAATGACCACAACCACTGCTTTGTTTCTGCTGGCTGGAAGGCAGCAAGAAAAGAAAAGCAGTGGCTGTGGTCGTTTTCACGTCCCGTAGGTTAGCCATTTTGGCTCAGGCCGTTTCGGCTCCGGCTGGCAAAACTGTGGGCAGGCGCCCGAGCGTGCACTCGCGCGTCCTCGAGGCGGCACACGAGTGCGAGCCATGTATGCAGGGCGCGGCGCGCACCCCATGTGGCAGTTCGGGTCGGGCAAAAGGGGGGGATAGCAAAGGGGGGGATTGAGAATCAGCTCACGGAGCTGATTTTCCCGGCGCCTCCCGGCGCCAGAGGCGGCCATGTATCGAGGAATGGGCCCCTCGGTGAGGCCGAAACCAGCTGCATGCAGCAAATTTCGTAACCCCCCCTTTCCCAATCCCCCCCTTTCGCCCAGCCCGAGCAGTGTGGCCAGTGCGCCAAGAAGACCGGCACCGCCCATCCGAACTTCGCGCACCGCGCGGAATGCCGCGCGTGCGGCAGCCGGGCGCCCCCCAGGAGCTCTGGAGAAGCTGCCGCAGCCTGCGGAGGCGCCACGGACGACGCCGTCGGGGAAGTGGGCCAAAGGGGCTCCCTCCTCGCGGCGGCGGCCGGGGCCCTCCTCGCGGCGGCGGCCCGGCCCCTCCTCGCGGCGGCGGCCATTACCAGCCTCGAACGTATCCCTATCCCTAAGATTGACTCGCCAAACGGCGATGACACTCTCAGGGATTCGCCCTCAAAAAATTAGGGAATCCCCAAGATTGGCATCGTGATGAGGAGGTGCCCAGCATAGGGATAGGCATATGTTCCAGGCTGGTAAGGCCAGGCGGAGGCGAAGAGGAGGTCGAGGACAGGCAGCTGGAGTTCGCCAAGTACGCCCTGGAGCTCCAGACGCACAAGTGCGGGGCGGACCGCACCGCCCGGCCGCCTGGCCGCAGGACCGGCCGCAGCTCGCCTCGAGTGCGCGGCGGTCGTCGACGGGGCCGAGGCGGCCAGGAGCACGGGCGGGAACGCGGGCGTGCGCCAATCAGCGCCCCTCCAACGGGGACTCCACTAACGGGTACTTTGGCCAGTGACCCAGCGAACCCAACCCTTCCCGATGTGGGCAACGCTGCAATGCCAGAAAATGGCCCTAAAGTGGCAACTTTCGGCATCATTTCAAAGTACCCGTTAGTAAGTACCTGGCACGGAGCGGAGGCTCGAGCGGGCGCAGGGCCGCGTCGACGCCATCGAGCTCGAGGCGGCCGAGGTGCAGAAGCGCTTGGAAGATGCGGAGGCCATCCTCTGAGCGAGGACCGGCCGTCCCGGCATTCCTATATAGTCATACCACGACATGTTCTTAGAACCCGAACATGATCTTAGAACGTATTCCCGATGTGTTTTAAAAACACAGGACAGTCACAGCCAGAACTGTTCTAAGAACACTTCTTGGAAGCCACACAAGGTTCTTAGAACATTGTTTGGTAGGGCTACAAACACGCCAGGACGCTTCGCCACTGCTCGTGCGCCTCTCCGACACGGAGCGGAAGCTCGAGCGGGCGCAAGGCCGCATCGACGCCATCAAGCTCGAGGCGGCCGAGGTGAACGAGGCCCTGAAAAACACATAATTACATACAAAAAACGATCCAATATTTTCCCATATCTTCTGGGTTTTGTCTTCCCCCCCACTTCCCATAGTTTCCCATATTTTCCCGAGAATCGACGATTAATTGTGTCTGCGTGTTTTTTCCCCTCCTGAGTGGTGCAGAAGCGCTTGGAGGATGAGGAGGCCATCCTCAAGGGCCACCGTGACAAGAAGGAGGAGCTGGAGGAGGCTCGGGCCAGGGCGCCGCTGCGCGAGGCGAGCGCCGGGCTCCCGGCCATCCCGGCAGGGGAAGCCCCCGTGGGATCGCGCGAGCCCGCGGCGGGCTCGCGCAGGCCGCCACTGCGGCGGGGCTCCACGAGCACGCCGAGGCCGCTCTCGAGGCCGAGGTGGAGGCGGCCCTCGAAGTGCTGGCCGGGCTCCTGGAGCGGGTGGCGGCCGAGCCCCCACCCCCGCCGCCCCCGGCGCCGGCCGCGGCCGCAGCGCCTGCCGGCGCTGGGGCGCCTGCTGCTGGTGGGGGCGCTGGTGATGAGCCCGTGGGGCCTGCTGAGGAGCCTGCTGCGCCCGGCCCCAATGACGACGAGCAGGAGTTCTGGGCCAGCATCGGCCTGGGTGCCGCAGCCGCCGCAGAGGGGGCCGAAGGGCGTGATGAACTGCTGGCCCAGCGCAAGCGTGCCTGGGAGGCCACCAGCGCTGCGTACAGGAAGATGCGCACGACACGTTCCTAGGGACCCGGAGGCGGAGGACCTGGAGCTGTGGACAGCGGACACAACAGCCTGGAGCTCAGTCGAGCGGCTGCTCGACTGGTGGGTCGTGGACCGAGCAGGCCAGCCGCCCGACGTGGTGTGCTTCCAGGAGCACAGGGTGAAGCTCGAGAGCAAGTGGGCCTCAGCGAGGCGCGTGGCACGCGCGCGAGGATACCAGGCCACCCTAGGCCTGGCGCGCTCGACCGGGGATGACCCCGTGCATTCGTCGAGAGGCACGGGGGTCTTGTCGACGGCGGCAGTTGCGGCAGCGGGCTACCCAGCGCCCCGCTGCCCCAGCCGCAGATTGCAAATGGTGCAGCTCAATGTGGTATTGCAGCTGCCGGTCTTGGTGGCTTCGCTGTACCTCGTGGACTCGGTGGGCCTCACGGGCCCCAACGTCGAGTTGCTGGATAGCCTCTTGCTCGAAGTCCTGAGCTGGAGGTTCCCCTGGGTGATTTTGGGGGACTGGAACCTTGACCCATGCATTGTCCATGGCTGGGCGCGCAAGGCTGGAGGTACCGTGGCCTCGACTGGCAGGCCAACGTGCGGAGCGAACGAGCTCGACTACGTGGTGGTCAGCAGGACGCTGTCGGAGCTGGTCGACGACGTGCAGTGAAGGTGCCCCGATGCACCCGCATTCTCCTGTCATCTTGAGGCTGACGGGCGTGCACAAGAGGGCGAAGGTGCAGGTGGCGAAGTACCCCGCCAAGTTTCCGCTGGACCTCCCTCCGCGGGTGCGGCCAGCACCACAGGAGTAGATCGAGTGGGAAATTGACGCGATGGAAATCAGCGTCGACGAGGCGTGCGCGGAGTGGTACATGAAGGCTGAGCAGCACTTGGTGGCTCTGCACGGCGAGGGAGTCCCAGCCAGGACAGTGCAGAGCAGGGCCTACGGTCTTCAGGTGCATTGGATTCCGCTGGAGGCGCAGCGGTCCAACAGCGTGCGGCAGCGGTCCAGCCAGGAGGCGCGGCGATGGCAGAGCCGCGCGGGGGCCCTTCGGAGGCTGGCGGCGCTCGTCACGCAAGCTCGCACCAGCGGCAAGGGCTGGCCCGAGCTGGAGCGCCAGAAGAGGCTGACGAGGTCGCTGCAAGGTCCCAGTGACCCCTGGCCCACAGATGGGGGCCATGGCACGCCTGGACGTGCGGAAGCTCACCGACGTCGTTTGCTTCGGGAGCAGCGGTGCCTGCGGGGTGCTGCTGCAGGCGGTCCAGCAGGAGGTCGATCGCACGGACGACGAGGACCGGGAGCGGCAGGGCCGACAAGGAAGGCCTGGGCCCAGGCTGCCGCGACCGAGCGATGCTCCAGGGCCTTCAAGTACGTCAAGCAGCGGGACTTGGACTGCAAGGTCAGGCGGCAGAACACGGGAAATGGCCCCGGGCTCGAGCCGGAGGGACCAGGCCTTCCAGTTGCAGGCTCAGAGGCCCTCCAGGTGCTGCTTGACGATTGGTTGCCCATCTGGTGCAAGGTTAGCCGGGAGGATGAACAACATCCCGCATGGCCCGACGGGGACCCGCTTCCCGCCTGATCGTTAGCAGACTTGGACGCGGCGCTGGGCAGGTACAAGGCGGGATGTGGGCTGGGGTGGGATAGGCTCCACCCGAGGAAACTTGCCCACCTGCCGCAGGCGTACCGTGAGCGGTTCCTGCAGATCCTCGCGGCGTGGGAGGCGCCCGTGCGATGTGAGGCTCTGGGAGTTGATCGCCGTGTTCCTGGCCAAGGAGGACGGGGGCATGCGGCATGCGGCCGATCCACCTTAGCTGCTTGTGGATCCGCCTCTGGTCCAGGCTGCGCCAGCCGCTCGTGAAGCAGCGGGAGGACGGCCTCAATAACCCTGCGCTCTGGAGCTCGGAGGACAAGTCCTGCGATGCCGCAGGCCTGGTTTCCAACTTGTTGGCAAGCTTCGCGCGGCTGAAGAAGATGGCTGCCGGGGCAGGCGTGGTGGACCTGGCCAACTTCTACGAGCACGTCAGCCACGCCGAGCTCGCGAAGGCGGGCGAAACAGGGTTCCCCTGACGGCTCCTCAAGCTCCGGTACCTGAGCTACAGGTTCAGCCGCAAGGCCATTTGGG